CAGACTGCATATGACTTTTAGGATACGTGCCGTCAACTGAATCGGTCTTGTTACATCTCGACGGCACAAGGGTGGCAGAGAAGGCCATTGGGCAAGGCGGAACTGGTAATTGTCATTGAGCGGGAACATTATGCATTCAAGCTCCCTCATCTATCAAGATATACCAAGCTTTAAGGAGAGCCTGTGGAAGACCTAAGGAAGGTGACTACGACAACTGACCACCTCTTATCCAAGCAATCCAGATTGAGAAGGCGATTTAAAAAAGACTGGGTGACCACCATGGAATCGTACGCTGCCACAATCTTGATTCAACCGATATCTCGAACGAATGGTGACGTCCGTCATTGTTCAGCGTAAAATAGACCTGATCGAAAGACACAATTGTCTTGGTTGACGAAACTGGCACATACTCTGGCATACATCCACGAGCATCGCATTATTATCGCCGACGTCTGATTAGACAATCTATTACTCGACGACGCTTTAAACGTCAAATTCTGTGACTTCGGGGAATCAGCTGTAATGCTTCTCAATTGGGATCTAGAGGGCACTGACGATCTTGGCTTCTCGATTTTGACCGATATTAGACAGTTTGGCAAAGTCATGTATGAAGTCATCGCCGCTGTCAGACGCAAATTCGATATGACCCTAAATCGGAAAGAACCTGAGGACTTGTACTCTTGTCCACCACGAGACAGTCTTCCGTCAACCAGAGATACATGGTTAGGCCATATTATTGACAAATATTGGACTCAGGCATTCAAGTCCGCCAGAGAGCTCGCCGTGGAGCTGGACCAGAAACGAGTGTCCTGAGCTGTGGTTCGAGACGGGGGAGTGTTTCGTAATACTGAGGTCGAAGCAACTTCGTATGGGAAGCGAGTATTAGCCCCAGTACGCACTTCAGCTACGCAGCCTCGCTATCGAACAGCATTGACCAGTTGATATTGAGCATCTCTCAAATTTTAGACACCTTGAGGTTCATCAATGACCAATGCGATTCGGATAAGTTGATACTTCTACAGGATCATCCACGTATGCACAGCCGTCAAAAGATGGGAATAATGGTGGCGTTGTCAATGATGACTTGAGGTCTAGAAGACGAACCCGGAAAGGTGCGACGGGAGACTGGATGGGCACACTGATCCATCGCCGAGAGTGAGCGTCGAAGTGCGAGTGGGTGGAGTTGCAGTGCCTTAAGTCCCACCGGTACCTCGAATACGTCCACTCTTGGCCGCCAAGATATCGATTGTTTTCCCATTTAGGAAATAGTCCGCAGGGTCTACAAGGCTTGAAGCATTCCAACCACTATCGAGTCAGTTGTCCAATGCTCGCGGAGTTACGAGTGCTTTTAACGGGCGACCGGCTTTGTTTTTGACCGCGGACTCCATATCACCAGGTATAAAGGTAATGCTACTCCCACTGTTAGCATGGCACCATCCTCGCTCTACTCTGTCTGGTCTGAGACGGGAACGACCTTCATCATTAACGGAATCGAAACTCTGGAGAGCATCAAGCTACGCAATTTCCTGTCTTTGCTCCTCTCATGGCTCTAGGTCTCAAGTCAGTCCTCATCACCGGCTGCTCTGCCGGTGGAATCGGTGGAGGTTTGGCTAAGGCCTTCCATGATAATGGCTATCACGTCTTCGCGACGGCACGAACACCTTCCAAGATCTCACAGTCGCTCGCTCAAGCGCCAAACGTCTCGGTCCTGACTCTCGACGTCGTGTCTTCCGAATCGATCGCCGCCGCTGTCGAAAGCGTCTCCGCCGTCACTGGCGGCACGCTCGATGTCCTAGTCAACAACAGCGGCCAGGTAATGGTGATGCCGGCGTTGGACACGTCGATCACCGAGGCCAAGAAGCTGTTTGACATCAACTACTGGGCCGTGCTGGCCATGATCCAGGCGTTCGCGCCGCTGCTGATCAAGGCCCGGGGCTGCGTCGTGAACAACACCTCGGTGAGCGGCGTCGTCCCCTTCGGCGCCTTTGGCAGCATCTACAACAGCTCCAAGGCCGCGGCCCTCCTCGGCAGCGAAACGTGGCGTCTCGAGCTCGCGCCCCTGGGCGTCCGCACCCTGACGCTGGTGACCTCGGCCGTCAAATCCAACGGCTTCGTCAACATGACACCCCCCAAAATCCCCGAGACTTCGTACTACCGCGGGCTGCAGGGGTACGTTGAAGAGCTGTGCGACGGCAGACTGCAAAAGGACGGCATCACGGCCGAGGAGTTTGGCAACAAAGTCGTCGCGCAGGTCAACAAAGGCAGGACGGGGAAATACTGGGTCGGTGGAGGAGCGGCGTCTGCTCGCTTCGCTGCATGGCTGTTGCCGGATTTCCTAATGGTGAGTCTCTTCCCATCCTTGTTCCCATATTTGTTTCAATCAATTGTTTTTGTCTTCATCGTTGTTTTCAAATTTGACTACATACTTACTGACGGCGATGGGATATGATTTCATCAGGACATGTTGATGGCATCCTTGTTCCCCTTTGCCAAATTGCTCAAGGCTCAATCCAGCAAGAAAGACTGATATCCAGTGGCCGAGGAAGGAGAAGGGATACACGAAGCGAGAAATGTCCGTCTTTGTGGAGAGGGTTGGGTGCTAGATGCTAGGTTTTAAGGACAAGCTGCTACAAAGGTCTTAAATGCTTCAATGAATAAAGAGGGCCCAGGGAACGAAACCCTGGCAGACAGACAGAGTACGCGTATGCATATGTATATGTATATATGTACAGAGCTAAGCTGTGGCTTGCTGGTTTCCACAATCACGATAGGTTCGTATTTGCCACGCAGGAATGAGTCGTACAACGACATAACACGGCTATCGCATCGAGTCGTGACCCCCGAAGAGCTTGCGCTTTCATCATCGACAAGAACAAGGATAATGAAGCACAAACTCAGAACGTGATGCGTGAGGGTTTTATCGGGTAAAGGAGGCCAGTCGTTTGGTGAGACCTCACGGCTCAAATCCAACCAGTCATGTGTCAATAGTCCGCGTTTTGATCAGCATCAAAGAAAATCCAAGCAGGGCACGCAATGTTGCCCACACTCTTCTCCGCCAGTCCGCTTCCTCAACTCAACACCCAGGGAAAGAGAACTTTCCTCGAAGCGTCGGCACTATGCTTGCTGCGCAACTTATTCCCTTGTTCACTTTCCGTCCACAATCAGCAGATCGCCATCCAACACCCCCATCGCTAGACAATATCCAATATCCAAACACCAATCCGTGACTCGTCGAAACAGTTGTACACTTTCAAATTTGGATTCTCTTCTTCTCTGGACTTCTGCTTCGTGCTCGATGCTCTTTGCTAGGGCTCCGAGGATATTCCAGCTGTTGCTGCCCGACGAAACCAGGGTCGCCGTGCCAGCCCACATAAGGCTGTTGTGCATACGATGCAGCCGGAGGGAGTGTAAATTGCCCCATGTGTGCAGAATGTTGATGAGGATGCACGTAAGCTCCAGAGGGCGCTCGATAGATATTTTGGTTCTCTTGTTGTCGTCGATATAGGGTAAATGTCGCATTGTTGACCACCAAGCCCACCACAACCAGTGTGATGGTGAAGATCATGGTTTTTAAGCTGATGGGCTCGACAAAGCTATTAAAGATTTCGGCGAATGTATGTGCACTCAATCTCGCCCGTTTCACAGCACTAGGATCCCGCTTCATGCACAACTCCCAATTGCTGCACACAGCTTCCAAGGCTGGTAGCCGGGTATCGGCGGCACATCGATTTTCGATGAAGTTCTTGGAGCAGGCCGCCATTTCCGCCAGCACTTCGGCCATCGCATCCTCGCTGGCACGGTCCACATCTGCTTGGATTGTAGCGTAGAATGCCCAAAACATATATAGACAACCGCCGAGGATTGCGGCATTGAAGAAAACTTGAAGGTATTTGGCGATTATAGAAGGTGCGTCAGGATATGTGTGGATGAAGGTGAACAGGCCAGTGATCCATCCTACTTCTTCCACGGGCGGCTTTTTAGACTCTGGTTCGGTCGGACTGGGGGCACTCTCGTCGTCACTATCGTCTAAAGAGCCCTTTCTCCCGACCACCAGTTGTCTGTCAAATTGCTGAGCGCGCCGGCGCTTCTTGTGGATTCGTCTCGCGACAGCATCACTCGTAGGTTTCCTGATCTCTCCTCTCCCCGGGCTTGGTGCAAATCTGCCGTACAATCCAAACAATGAGTTTCGCTTGTTCTCCGTTCTTGAGGGGCTGCTTTTGAACTCGATGGGAAGCGGAGTTGCATCTGGGGTGTCCTCATTCTCGGTCGCTGCCAGAGGCGAGGAATTCTCAGGAGGGGATGAAAAGTCAATGTCGAATGGTTTTCGCGGGGTTGTGAAGGAGGGATTTCGAAAGGGGGACGACTCAGGTGGCGGCGCCGGAGCGTCTGAGAAGAAAAAGGGCTGGTTGTTGGGTTCGCGGAGCGCTGGCATTGCTGGTTTCTCAGGAGACCCGAACTCGCTATGAGTTCCTGCTACCATCAGTACAGCAACACCGAGAGAGGACAGCGCACCTTACGCTTTTTGGCCTGCATCTCGACAACACGTTTGTGGTAGGGAGAGGTGGGATCAAGAGGACCGTGGCCTTGCCATTCAAAATCCATGAAACTTTCTGTACCGCGAAAAGCCATTTTAGAGGGAAAGAGGCAGGAGAGTGCGAGGCCAAAATAGAGGTGATCAGAGGTGGTCAGATGATTCTGCCAGTACCACTGGGAAGTGGGAGGCAACACAACACAGACTTCGATTCTAGAGATTTATTTTGGTAGGCCAAACATATGCGCTCCCGAAGAGGGAAAATAAACAAAAGCATCACACCGCAAGCGCAGCGCAGCGGGATGTTTGCTAGCCTGGACAAGCCTGATTGGCAAGGGTCCTGGATCCATGCAAGCGGCATCCCCCTCTCGCATCTCGGATTTCCAAGTCCCATCCACTCAAAAGAAGCTTTGATTCGTTCGTCCAACGCCCACCCCTACAATTACTGTCGAACTCTCCCTATACAGTCATGCCTCGAGAGAAATCGGAGGAGGCCCAGTGGTGGTACGAAGCTGTATACTCAGCCATCCAGCAGATTCCCCATGGCAAAGTCACCAGCTACGGACACATTGCCCTGCTCCTCGACTTCCCCAAACGTGCAAGACAGGTTGGCGTATGTCTCAAACACCTCCCCACGTTCGATCGTGCCAATCCAGACCAATACTTCTTCCACGATCAGAATGTCCCCTGGCAGAGGGTTGTGAATTCCAAGGGCGGCATCAGCCCGCGCGGCGATGATGGAGCTGCGGCAAATAGACAGGCAGAAAAATTGCGTGCGGAGGGTGTGGAAGTCAATCTAGCCAGGGGCATTGAGGAAATGACGGTCGATTTTGGGAAATATGGTTGGTTTCCGACAAGACTCCCAGATGAAGAGAGCGATGATGATATGCAGAGCCGGTAGCGCGCGTGAAAGCGAACAGGAGTTCAGCCGTGGAAAGAGCATAGCGCATCTGTCTCTTGATAACTGGAGAGACATCCCACAACACCGCGTCCGCTCCTCAGCCAGTACCTTGGGGGAGTATTGTGTATCTCCCGTTGCTTGTCCTTTCACAGCTCGACCCGCTGTCGAGAACCCCCGGGTTGTCGACTAACCTCCGAACATTGAATCCTTGTTGTCGAAACATGCACATATCTGAAGCATCTGTCGATTCATGCAGCGCTACTTTAAGCCCACTGTACAACCTTGATATTTGCACTACATGAGGATACCTACTATCCATACGATTTTGACGCCTTCTTGAAGCGCTATGCTCTGAAGATATCCGGAACATCTAGGGTTGCTTTGTACCTGTTGAACCGCCCATCTACAGGGAGATCTTTAGTCTGCCTGCGACACCGGAAGGATCAATGTTTGCGCAAGGCCGCGGAAAGAGTTTGGAGTGATACACCCTTCGCAGATTGTGAGAGGAGCATAGCATACGAGGTGCGGCAAGCTCGATAAGTGTGACGGGTCACTGTCCGGGCTGTTCTCCCTATGTTATCGCCGCGGCCTTTGAATTCCATGAGGCCTATTTCTACCATTCCTGGGCAACTGCCATCCTCTTCGACTGTGGAATGAATCAAGGTTGAGGAATAAAGCCGGCGTTAGGAAGGTAGCTTGGATGTGGAGAATGCCATGTTGGATACAGTTGTGTTGGTGTTTGTCGGCGGCAAATTCAGGCTGGCGAGCGCATTAATACAGTGCTGGCAGAAGTCAAGGAGCAAGACTCGCTCCTCTACGCGTCACAACACGGCGTGGGGGATTTTACCAAGCACTCAGCAATTTCCCGCAGACTAAAAGTTGAGACGCTACTCACTCACTGTTTACAGTAATAAGAACTGATTTATTATTGGAGACCTCCTCGGCTGTAGAGATAATTTGGGTTTGAACTGGGTGTATGACCAGCCAGCCATGCACGGGAATGACAGAGGGCAGCGATACGACGGCTGGAGAGTAACTTTAGTCATTGGCACGGGAGTCATAGCCAGTGCCGTCATCATGGTAGATTGATGTTGATCCGTGTCAAGGACAAGAGGTTGGAAACAAGAGGTGATGCATTTTGCGAAGGTTGTACCAAACATGAGCACCATAGACTCATAGTGGCTGTGAGAATGCATCACATGGCCTGAGGTAAACAAGGAGCGGCAGCTCATGGTGAGGCTTCTGTCCAGGCGTCATGGGCACGGTGGCCAGGGAGGGGGGGCGCCCGGGAGTGCAAGCAGGTAATGACACACCTACGCACGCGCAGGTCCCAAGGACTAGACTGTGAGTGCTTTGCACCCTTCTCGGTACACCTCTCGGCCTTTGTGGTTGGGAGTTGTTGTCTTTGTTTTGGGCGTCCCCCTTCCCTCCCCAACAGTGCCTCCCACGCTTCCCCCTCCTCCATCCCTCGGTATCTTGGATCTCCGTCCTTGTGCTCAAGCTCCCGAAACTTCCCCCTCCCAAGCCACCGAATAATAACATGCTTCCTGGTTCGTCAAATCGCTGCCTGAGATTGTTTTTAGCACCTGGTGGCGTTGCCAAATGACTCCAATCCCATGCTTGTTCCTTGACCACATGCATGATCCCCGTTCAACTGCCAGTCCAGCATCCCGCGTCCGGCCTCAAAGGGTCAAGCATCCACTGGCATGTTCATACATCAGCCCCTCTTCACATCACGACTATCGCCTGCTCATCGCCTCCACATCTCAAATCAACACCTGAGGCAGAGATAGCACATCGCGTACTCGGTACAGCCCTCATATCTATGAGGACCAAGCTTTGGGTGGGAGTCAGAAACCCATCATCTCGGTCCCTAACCGCCCCGCGTGCCAGCTTCTGAGCCAGTGGTGACTGCGTGTGACAAAACATCCTCCATCCTCGCTCCCTCATCATCCTCAGCCCTCCGACTCACACGTCCGATTCAAATAGCACAGCACTCTCCTTATCTCCCGAGCTTCCCTCTCCCTCTCTCGTCTTTCATCTCTGTAACACCTTCTTGGTTGTTACTCACTTCTTTGTCCTATTGCCTCGTCATCGGCCACACTTGCCCAGTACATAGTACTCATCCCCTGCGACCTCTCTCCTTTGTTCCTTCCACCTGCAGTCATCTCTGCACGCGTCATTCTTTGGCTCAGTTGGGACCTGACTAGGTGCCGTCCCTCTTTTGCATCCTTCCACCTCCACGAAACCTACGGCCCTTCTCCAGTACAGCACGCATCAACACTTCTCTTATCTCAACCTACACTAAGCTCCACTACCTTCCAAGTCCACCCCAAGCCTATATCATGTCTGCCTCGCCTAACAACGACCTTCGTAGCGAAGCCAAACCGTACCTCCGTGAAAAGAACCACAACAAGAAGTGGGCAAGAGGGGCTCAAGAGGCTCCGGACCATCACTGCCACAAGCACACATATCCTGAAGACAATTGCCGCAAATGCATGGGCAGGCCAAATCGCCGAGATCAAGATCGGAGGGTCGGTCGGTCAGAGGCCAAATACAAGCATAACCTCCAGAACAAGCTGAGCGGCCACGCCGCGACCTTGGCTCGCAAGGCTTTCCGCAATGAAGTGGTCGATGCCATGGATGGCCCTTTGGCTCATGTCTCCGACACCTCTGAAGAGGAGGAAGTCCTAGACGCGTCTGAGGCCCCTGTTCCAGCTGAAGGAGACTTCATGTACAGCTATGACCACGCCACTGGCCCACGAGCCAGTGGAGATATTCTCAGCCAGGCTATCATCCAAGCTGTCCGACGATTCGAGAACAACGAGACCGAGAAACTGATCAGTGCGGAATACAACGTCATTGACGACAAGGAGATGGCCGAGGTTTCTACAGAGGACGATGACGACGATTTCGAGCTCGTCCACTACTCTCACTTGAAGTGAACTCCCGATCTTGTGCACAACTCTCTGTGAGGTTGGAGCAGACCTGGGACCGGCGTTGTCAGTTGCTTTTCACACTTATAATGATTCTCAAACAGGGCAACCGAGTTGCTGTTGTTTGTATGTTTTCGTTTCATCAGAGATACCCCAAGGACTCATTAGGGAAGCGAGGCTGTATCAATAGAGCTATCATCACGGGTACTACACGGCGCTTCTTGAGGATATGAATGACCTTGGAGAGGAGAAACACTACCAATTATTGATGAGTGTTCCTACGTTGTTATTGGCGTTTGATTATCAAACCACAGCTGGGAATAGGGAGCAATGGAGGATTAAGCAATACTTAGCATTAGAAATCCAGGCAACCTGTCTTATCGTCAGAGCACTTGGTCTCACCCAACCTCCCATCAGGTTCTGAATATGGGTAGCATGTGACGCGTTCAACCCCAAACAACAATGACGTCTTTTGAAACTAGCAACCCGTGCAAACCTAACAAATGTCACAAACATGGGGGAGAAATCACTCTAATATTATCGCAACTGTCTCTTTATGTACCTGCGCTCACAGCCACGCCGGCGCCCAATAACCAGATCCTGGTAGAGTGCGCGAACCAGAAGAACACTGCGAAGCAAAGTCTCCGGCATAATGCCCAGTGCAAATCTTGCCGCATACCTAGCGAAGAACTATCTCACAGCTTCCACGTCCCGCTCTCCTTCCCAACCTGAATCGTCAGATTTCCAAGACTCGACTCGCCCAAAGAAAAAGCGCCGCAAGAATAAGGATGAATCCGTTGAAGGTGGACTGGTAATCGCAGACGATGACGAACCCCTGTCCCTTCGAGGCACCGCTTCACGAGGAAAGTTGGGCGAGGATGAAGAAGATGGAGATGTACCAATATTTGAAGCTGGCGTCAAGTCTGCAGAGTTCAGGAAAAAGAAAGGTGGAGGAAGCTGGAAGGTTGTCGCGACTGCAGCTTCGACGACTTCCTTGACGTCGGGAAATAGGGATGAGGACCAGGAAGCAGACAGGATCCTTGCTGAAGCTGCGGAAGAGTCTCGACTGCGCCGCCAGGAGATCGAGGATGAAGACGCTCCTACGATTGTTGAAGAGAAAGACGGCGGCCCTCGCATGCAGTCTGGCATTCGGGCCGGTCTCCAGACTGCTGCGGACACCGCCGCCCTAGTCGAGAAGGAAGAGCGTGAAAAGCAAAAGGAACTCGAATCACTCAATTCGAGGACCAAATCAAGGAAACACAAGGATCGATCAGTTAAGGAGGAGGAAACCATCTACCGTGACGCCACCGGCCGACGCATCGACATCAGCCTGAAGCGAGCAGAAGCTCGAGCGGCAGCGGAGGAGAAGGCGCGAGCCGAAAGGAAAGCAAAGGAGGATGCCATGGGTGATGTGCAGCGGCGGGAGCGGGAAGAACGTAGGAAAGAATTGGAGGAAGCGAAGTTCTTGAGTCTAGCCCGGGGCGTGGACGATGAAGCGATGAACGATGAGCTACGTGCTAAAATCAGGTGGGATGACCCTATGGCCGAATACATGGCACAACAACAAGCGGAAGAAGCCGCAACGGACCGCGCTGTATCAACGAAAAATTCTGGGAGGGTGGCAGTGAGGAAGAAGGTTTATACAGGTCCTCCAGCCGCCCCGAATCGGTATGGAATCCTCCCGGGCTGGCGGTGGGATGGGGTCGATCGAAGTAATGGTTTTGAAAAAGAATGGTTCCAGGCCCGTTCCAAGAGAGGGAGAGAAGAAGAGTTGCGGTATCAATGGCAGATGGATGAGTGATCTGATGGTGTTCCTGGGAAACAAGCACGGTGACAAGGACGGAAACTAAAGTAAGCTTGCCATAGGTTCGTCCTCACTGCCTACTCTTTCACGACTCCTTCGACCCAGAATCTAATCTGCAGCCACTTTTGGATCTGATCAGTACTGTGCATTGCCTTTCATTGCCTTTGATACCTCTACGAGACATTTGGCCGGTCTATGCTAGTATATCCGGAGGATCTGGCCAACCATCAATGCGACTAGCTCCAGGGCATGTTCTGGCTAACCATTTTCGGAAATACCATAGATACTAAACCGCTGTCGTCTATTCAAAACTTTTTCCTCCACAACTCCCTCTCCATTCTTTTCAAATGGAAGAAGCATCGAGTGGAAAAAGATATATAATACAGAAAGCACACCCATCCGTCCCGTGGCACTGAAAACCCTCCATGGACTCCTTCAGTAATGAAATTCTCCTAGGACATTGTGTGCCATTGATCCAGATCGTCGTTGCTGGTGGTTGATTGACGGTGGGATCCGCCACCGCTCCAGTCGACCTTTACCTGGTCATCCTCACTGTTCACCAGCCTTCCTCCGCTAAGCAGGCGGAATTTCAGATCGAAGCTTCCAGGAATGAGCCTGAGACGGAAATGGGCAAGCTCATAACGCTCCCCGAAATTCCACCAGTGCTTGTTTCGCACATGCCGGTCGACCAGTTGAAGATCGACAGTCACCGTGCAGAGTGTCCTCACATGGTCTTTCTCGGCCATGCTCTGTGGGAGGGCGTCTATAGGTCGTGTCGACACCACGAATTGCGCTTGCCATGGTTTTCGGTACTGTGCAGGACTCAACTTTGCCTTGAACATCTTCTCGAGGCCATTATCGGTGACTTTGTCACCCTTCGCTCGAGTCAGTCTACTCGATGTTGTTTTTCCAGCAAGAGAATAAGGAGCAACTCACCTTTCGGATCAGCCATTCAATCTGGTCTACTGCCCACCTCTGTCCGTCTCTTTTATCTCGGACGACTCTTTGGCCAAAGTGCCTTTGTTGACTGTATTTTTGATTGACAACGACGCCATAGCTGACAGGAGCGCAGCGCTGCTCAATTGGTGGACGACCTTTGCTTATTTCTTGGGCACGATAGCTGACGAGTCCTTGGACCACGGCAAGCTGCCTGTGAATATTCGTCAGTCTTCATTCGCAAGCGGCATGATGGTCAACTTACAAGTTTTCGGCGAGAAGCATGCGCAGGCCGCGTATATTTGGGATCTCGGCTCCTGCTCCGGACTCAAAATGTGTCTTAACCCTGCGCTGGATGTATTCAGATGCTGACAGGCCTCCAGACATGATCAAATATGAGACTTGCTCTCCGGGCCGGTTTCTCTTGAGTGCATGCAGCTGCTCTTCTATCAGTTCAAGCAGGCCGTCGACTTGCTCGTCAAAAAGGTGCTGGATGGTATCCTGATCGATCTCCATGTGAGAGTCTCTGATCCCGGCCTGCGGGTAGTCCAAGCCCGCGGGGAGCCCAACCACTGGCAAGAACAACTTTGGAGCCGTCATGCCTGGGCTTCCGAAACTGCACTTGAATCTCTCGAATCTGCCCAACATCATTCTCTCGGCTGTCTCTGGAGGGTGCAAAATCTCCGGAACCAGGGCCAGGCGACTGGCAAGATGCTGTTGTACCTTGATATCGATGAGTGCTGAGCCGACCTCTCGTCCTTTGCAATGAAATCAGCCAAGTAGCAGACACACAGCTTTGCAGCACTGACCTTCGACCTGAAGCAACTGCTCCAGTCTGAGTGTCTCTCCCATCTCAGACTTTACTTTCATGATGTTCACGTCCTTTTCAACTGTCAGCGGCATGACCACAGTGCGATCAAGTTACTTCCATACCGTCGTGCCTCCACCTGCATCGCACACCAAGATCACGTCGTCACGCTATGCGCGGTGTTTCAGCATCGAATTGAATCAGGCGGAAATGAAAACCAACCTTCAACATCTGCTTCGCAACACAAACGGCTGCTGCCTCAGCCTCAGTCAACGTCACCACCGAGGAATGGTACGGGCCATCGCGTCCAAAGCCAGCGAGCTTAAGAATCTCTAAAAGGTCTCGCACCATTCCAGCATGCTTCCAAGTTGTGGGGACGCTGAAGTTCCACTCGACTCGCATTGTCGCCCATTGTGCATATCGAGTTTGGAAATACCGGGCAATATGGTCATGCACACATCTCATATAGTCCAGATAATAACGCCGTGCGTCTTGGTGTGAGAGGAGTTTCCATTCTCCATATTCGGGGTCGAGATGGAGCTTGAAATACTCTTTGATGTCGACTGTCTTATCCGCGACGTCGGCGAAGAAGCCCCAAGACTTTATGTTCGCGGTCCCATGGTCATATGCCAGACGCGACGGCGCCTTGTTGAAAAGCTCGGATGCAATGGTAGTCCAGCTCTGAAAAGTTGAAGGATTTGTCCATGGTGCCGTACAGTATGCCACGCCTACATCAAGTCAATTGCTGTTCTACGTCGGGCCCATTGGAAATACCTGTCTGTGACATGCCAAAGTCAACTCCAATGACAAGCTCGGGTTGGGCGTTGCCGGCCATGATTGATTTTCTGGAGACCTCTTTTTTTCAAGCAAGTTCAAAGAAGTCTCGGGCGGCATAGGTTGGCCTCTTCAGGGAATCAGGCCTACGGCAGTCCAACTAGTCTCTCATTCCTCTTCGCTCAGCCTAAGAAGCTATCGCCACCCCAGCACGGAGGCTGTGTACGTCCACAGGCATCCTTAAAAGCAGCAAGTGAATGGGGGACCACCCTTCTCATGCACGTCGATGGGTCCAAAATGCAATGTCAGTGAGACAAGGTGGTGGTGGGCTTGTTCTGGATCAGGCTGGCGGCCATGGTTGCTTGGTGCATGGGGGCTGTGAACCCACCCACCTCGTATTCATGAATCCCAGCCTCACCGTGCTCGGTGCAAAGGAAGAAGGACCTTGACCAGGCAAAACAATTTCAAATGAATTAAACGGTTGAGCGTCCTCTTCTTGCACGATTCGTACCCGAACGCAGATATTGACCCAAAAAGTTGGCCGCCATGTCTGACAATCCCTCCCCCGATACTCAAGCGTCAAGTTCGGACAATGCCTCTAATGCAGCCTCATCGAGCACCACCACCAGCACTTCTCCAAGCGACTTTTCAGAACCCTCAGCAAGCAGTGCACCAGCAGCCTCTACG